GACAGACACTATAGCTGTTCTGACTGCTCAAAGACAAAACTGCGAAGAGGTATTCAGGCCTCTCTACGAGCAAGCCGTTGCGCTGGCAGATGAGCTAGACACGGAGCTGAAGCTCCCTCGCATCACGAAGAGGCAGATTCACAGGTCCGACCCCCCTGCGCTCGATCCGGAGAGCTTCTACAGGACGTCGGTCTACATTCCATTATTGGATAATGTGTTGGCAGACCTGAGATCAAGGTTCACTGAAGAAACTTTTGGAGTCTGCGAGCTCTACGTCTTCATGCCGTCTCAGCTGCTGCACGCCACAAGAAAAAACGAGGCAAGAGTGGCAACAGATATTGTCCGGCGATATTGCTCACTCATCGGAGGAAGTCACGCCCCGATAACCGCAAAGGTTATTCAAGCTGAGCTACGGCTATGGCGGGAGAGGTGAAAGCGCGAAAGCGAAGACGGCGCGGACATCCCTTCGACTGCTGTGCAAGCGCTCTACATGTGTGACGGTGGAGTCTTTCCTTCAATTAGGACTTTCCTGCAAATACTGGTCACTCTCCCCATAAGCGTTGCCAGCGCCGAAAGGTCTTTCTCCACACTCCGACGCTTGAAAATATGGCTGCGGTCACAGAAGAGCGATGCACGTCTGACCGGCCTAGCCTTGCTGCATACACACAGGGACATCTCTGTTGACTGTGGAAAAGTTATCGATCGCTTCGCCAACGAAAATCATGGAAGACGGCAGTTAGAGTTTGTGGTGTGAAAATGCGAACTTATTCTTTGCCACATCGTGATCACATCAAACGGACATCGCTGCAGCTCTGTCCATAAATTTATTATACAAAACTGACATAATTCTGTGACATAGATTTTGTTTCAATACTGTTTCGAATCTATTACATAAAGTGACATGCTTATGTTTCCATTTGGAGTGATTATTTCACTCAGTTCCTTTTCTTGGTGGGGAGGCAGTTTCCCAGATCGCTTCAAGGTTTTTCTAAGCCTCAGTGACCCTCAACCACCTGCCTGCCCCTGGCCATTTCGAACTGGATGAGTATCGTTAAACAGTGCATTCGTGTGATCACTAATGCGTGATGCACGTTAAAGACCCCCACCCCCCCCCCCCCCCCGGCTGGCGGCCACAATTACTAATCTGCACACGTCACACACTGCACTGGCAAATAATCCAGCATATCCGGGACACTCGTCATCTCATTTAATTGCCTGACCAACTTCGCGCTATCTGAATATCACACCCGAACATTTCTAAACCTGATTTCGTGAAAACCAGTGAGGCGTGAAAACGTTATTTGAAACTGAAACTGGTGGCGGAACATGAAAACCGGACCTCGAACTTTGCGCACTTGGACTTTAAAGAAATTCGAAGCCTAAGTTTCTTCTTCGAATTTAGCGCTAAAAGAGAATCGAAACCTTCGAACTTTTCGACCTTTATGTAGAAAGAAATTCGAAATCTTCGAATTTATCGACTTCATGTCTATAAGAATTCGAAACGTTCGAATTTTTCGAATTTCAGATCCAAAGAAATTCGAAACATTCGAATCTCTCGAATTTCAAGTTAGCAAAGTTCGAAATCTTCGATTTTCTCGAACCTCAAGTAAAAAAAAATATTCGAAATTATCAAACCCGAACCTTTAGAAACCGTAAAAGCTTCAAACTTTTTGAATTCGAAACTTTACGATTTTTTAAAGTTGCGAATTTTTCGAATTCCAATCTCCGTACGGTCGAAACCTTTCGAAATCGAACATCAGTTCGGTTCTAAAATATTGAAATCTTTCGAAATCGAACCTAGGGTGGTTCGCGGCATCCCTAACGTAACCCACCTGGGCCAACCGATACACGCCGCTTCGAGGCGACAGCCTGGGGCGGCTCATGAGAGAAAAAAACCTAATCTGAGCATGATGGGCCAATGGGAGGCAACTGCCAGTAGTATTTCGGGAAAGTTATTCTCCCGGCTGCCGGGAGAGTAGACAATACCTAAACAAAACACTTCTAGAAGAGGAGAAATGAGACTGTAACGTGCGCGGATTTCGACGGGGTATGTGCACGTGCCGGGTCATCTTAGTGCCGCGTTGTGCACGCGAGGAACTGTGTGTGCGCGCGCGTCATCTTCGTAGTGCGTGCCACGCGCCCCGCAACAAGAAAGAGACAAAGAGAAGGAAGGCGGAGAACAGAAAATGGAGTGTCTTCGAGCGGGCAGACCAGCGTGTGGAAGGGAACCGCTGGGCGTCCAGACCCGGGTTCTTCAAAACTTCCACCTGGACTGACCCCCGGCTCTCGCGAAGCCTTCGCCCCAGTTGAAAGCAGGTGCACGTGTTGCGGAGTACACGTCAAGACCACAGCGGCCCCGTCAGTTCCAACACGCCACCCCAGACGCCGACGCCGTGCCAACCTCGCCTCCGACCAGGGCCGTACCCAGAAAAAAATTTCGGGGGAGGTTTTCGGGGACAACGGCGGCCATTTCGAAAGTGTCTATTGTCTTATTTTCGCCTATGAATCATGTGCATCGGTGGCATATAATGGAGAGTTACAGCAAACCGGAGAACCGGTCCCGGTTTGGTACCCGGTAGCCGACCGGCGCCACTGCGCGTGCGCAGAGGTGGAGATTAAAATCGGCTGGCTGCCAGTGCACCGACCAGGGCCGTACCCAGAAAAAAATTTCGGGGGGGGGTTAGAACCCCCTATCCCCCCCCCCTGGTTACGGCCCTGCCTCCGACCCACCGGCTTCAAGCTGAACCCCGGGTTTTCTGGTACGTGCTTTGTCGCCGCTCCATCGCACAACTCCTCGCAAGACCCAACACCACGAAACAAGAAAGCGATAAGTTGTTGCGGTGAACTTTCGGGTTGCCGTTAAAGCGGGAAACACATGTACGACGAAACCTTCCGATCCGACGTGCGGACTGCCGGAATGACCTTGGGGGGAGGGGGTGTTCGTAGCATCGGAGAGCGTTGAAAACCCTCGCCTCCGACCGTCGTATTGCGCGGTCGGACGTCGGATCGGACGGTTTCGTCGTACATGTGTTTCACGCTTAAGGATCTGTTATACTCCGACGTAACGCGCGCGCAAGCGAACGCTGGCCGAAGTCGGCTACGTCACGTCGGTCACGCCACGCGCGCCAAAAATTCGACCTCCCTATACTCCGGCGGCCCTGGCGACTCCCGCGGCGCGCGTCGGTGGGTCGCCAGCGCGGCGCATACGCAGAATCTGGCTACGAGGGTGCGCTTCCTGCGAGAGTGCGCCATTTCCGGTTCCTTTTCATTTCGAATTCGCGACTCCAGCGACCTATAGGGGGCGCCACCACCAAACAAACATGGCGGCTGAGTCCAGGTCGCGTCGGCTCGGCCGGGCCGCCTGAACAGGTGGCGCGTTCAATTTAACAGATTTTATTTTGTTTAATGCCCAATTTTATAGGTATTTGAACTGAGACGGTTCAGTGTGGCCGGTGCATATAAACTTGCAGAACATAGTTTTGTTTTCCAAGTGTGTTTTTTTTTTTTTTGTTCTTTTCATGTCAAACTTTCGTTTCGGAGATTTCGTTCGAAACCGAAACTATGGGCTTCTGGAGAGACGGTAATATACTAATCAGTTTTGCTCATCTAAGGAAAGCGGCAATGACTGCAGAATTCTCCCAGCGGCAGTCATTTTCAGCCAACTCGCATGCCTCGACCATGCGACTTATCTGTCCGCGAAATCGGGCTTTTGTGCGTATCCGCGTTTAAGAAACAGCTTCAGTCGTCTGCTCGGTCAACAACACAGGCTGCAGGAAAATTACGAAAATTAAGCAAGCGCTTCTTAAGCCAAGGAGCATGTTAACCCGCCGGCACCCCACTGAGCAGCTGATACTCGTATTTCAATTCAGGTTTTAGTAGCAATCGAGAAGTCATTTTGACGAGCGGGTTATGTATTATATTACGTACTACGTCCCACTAAAGCGATATTAGAATATTCTTCGGTTTTAAATATGACCTTAGTTAATTAGCTATTAGGTGAACTGCTGAATAAAAGTATATTTGACAGACAGAGAGATACTAAGTTAAACTTAGCCAAATGGTTCTAGCCGGTATAGCACGGAGACGAATGCGGACAAACTGAAAAGAGTCAATTCATTGGAGATTCACGCAGAACCTCTCTGCACTGAACTTGACTTCGAATCCTGAACGGAAAAAAATTAGTATTTTTGTGGCCGATCAACCTGAGCAATGTAGACGTTAATTGCTGTTGGCTTAATTCGACGGTGGTATAATATAAATATTGGAGGTGCGATAGATCAAAATGCCGTGACAGCTTCTAACGTTGCGAGACTCGTCCCCCACCTTTTGCAAACAGATAATTTCCCTCATTCTTTATTTGCAGCGAGCAGGCTTTCATGAATCAAATAATTGCGAAATCAGCCCAAATCCTTCAGAGTGGTCCAGAAGATTTTTCGGCAAAAAGCAGCCAAGATGAATAGCCAACGCACCGACCGCCGTGGGTGGCTCAAACTTGAAGCTAATCGAACACAACCAAACTCAAGAGAAGCAGCTATCGAACCTCCCATTCACTTGACTGCAGCATTGGTGTTCCCTCCAGTGAAATGCATCGTCCGTCGTCCTCCCACTGTTCTGCATCCTTATAAAGAAACCCCTTATCAGTTACCCAGTAGTCGTCACTTTGAATGTGAATCGAGACAGACAAGAAATCAGAACGTTTTTCCGTGATTCCTTCCCAACCAAGAAATCGAAAACACGTGGTGGAAGGAAGCAATCTACTGAGGCTTCGCCACACTAATGAACACTCAGGAAAACTTAAGAAATTTTCGGACCTTCGTGGAATTGCACTGTTCGCCACCGCGCCGACAACACGTGTCCGCGAAAGCCACCGGAGACGCGGAGGGGCGCGGAGCGACCTGGACCGGCTGGTTCCCGGTTTTCCCACTTGGTGGCGTCCGTTTTGCTGGAGTCGCGAATAGCAGACGAGAATTCTCGCGCTTCTTGAGCGCCAAGTTCGAGCGATGGCGTGGACGTACCTTGCCCGACGAAAACTCGCGCTTGCACTGTTGGTGCACCGCCTGCGCCGCAAGCGTAGGCGGTCAATGTACATACGGCACATCTTTGACAAGCGCACGGTCTACGGGGAATACCACCGCCTCGTCCAGGAGCTGCGAGAGAGGGACCCCGAATACCACTTCAAGTATTTCAGGTAACTGAATGCACGCCCCAAAGGGATATTGAACTTACGGCGATTTCGGTGTCATAAAAGTATTAAAAAATGATCGAGCTTGCGGCGTACTGTTTGGGAGCGCGAGCTTCCCGACGCGAAAAATACTGCGCGTTGTTTGCAGTATTATTTCTGTAAAGCTGATGAAGGCAAGGTGGGACGGAACGTCTAGCTCTAGCTGATGAAGCTAGACGTTCCGTTCAAAGCTCATGAGGGCAAGCCGAGACGGAACATATAGCTGATGAAGCCAAGCTTCATAAGCTAGACGTTCCGTTGGCAAATCCGGGCTGATATCGGTTGCTCCCCCTTATATGGCAGCAGCCAACAATTGTGTTCAAGGGACAGTGTCGAGAGCCGTTTCGTTGCAGTGAAGTGGCTTACAAGAGTGCTTTCACCAGTATCACGAGCTTGCAACTTTGAAATTTAGCAGAATGGGCAGGTTTGTTTCTTGTAAAAATATATTAGGGTTGTTTATAGTAGCAGTGTAAGCTGCCACGCTCAATCAAACAGCCATCCTGGGAACTTCCCGTCGCTTCCATATAAAACCTAACAATAGGAGGAAACTCCATTATGACATGCTTAGGCTGGTATGATGCCTAGAGCTTTATTTCAAAGTGTAGATTTTGAAAACTTCTGCTGAGGAATACCTCTTCATGTTGGGTCACTGTGCCATTGTGTTCATGCAGGATGACCAAGGCATCATTTGATCGACTGTTGAGCTTTGTGTATCACCTAATCCTCCACGCACCAACCTACAGGAGGCCAATCTCCCCTGGAGAAAGGCTCGCAGTTAGGTTGAGGTAAATAGGATCTGTTCGTCTTTCTAACAAAATTATTATGTTTGCAATACTTTATATATATATTGTGTAATACTGTACACTGATCACTGTTCATTCCCTTGCGAATAAACCTGAGGGGATACCAAAAGTCCTCCCACAAGCCCTGCTCCGGCTGTTAATGTATCACCTTCACATTCAACAGCATGGTAGAAAAATATTTTACAGCTTCACTGGTTTCATAACAATAACAAATCTGTTTTCAACACAGTTTTATAGAACATACCACACTTCTATCACAAAATCCTGCATCGCAAAAGCACGTCAGGTTGAGGTTAATATGTGAATATAATTTTTTCTAGATTCCTGGCTACCGGAGGATCAATGCAGGACTTGGCCATGAGCTACAGAATGCACGCCTCGACAGTCTCAGGGATTCTGAGAGAAACCTTGCCGGCCATCTGGGACTGTCTGTCTCCTGTGGTACTGGAAGAGCCTACCACATCGAAGTGGGAAAGAATACGGCAGGAGTTTTGTGCGAAGTGGAATTTCCCGAATGCCATCGGTAGCATTGACGGGAAGCACTTTTCTATTAAGTGCCCAGACAACAGTGGGTCAGATTGTTATAATTATAAAGGGTTTTATTCCTTGCTCCTGCTCGCTGTCGCAGACGCCAAGTACAGGTTTACTCTAGTAGATGTAGGGGCACAGGGACGCATGTCAGATGACTCTTTCTTCAGGGAAAGTGCCATCAGACGTCACTTTGAAGCCAACACTCTCGGGCTGCCCTCGAGTGTGTCTAGGTGGCCCGTCTGTTTACTCGGCGACGCTGCTTTTCCATTGAGCACGTACTTAATGCGCCCGTACCCAGGAAGGAGTCTCGATGACAACAAAAAAGTTTTCAATTACCGTCTTTCCAGGGCGCGCCGATGTGTTGAGAACGCTTTTGGCATTTTAGTCTCCAGGTGGCGTGTGTTCCTTGGAACTGTCGAAGGTGACGTCGAGCTTGTCACTGACATGATAAGGGCAGTAGTATGTTTGCATAACTTTCTCATGTCTGATAACGCATACTGTCCCAATGATTATGGTGACAGGCCACAGGGGCGGGCGGTGCAGGAAGGTCAGTGGAGGCAGACAGTGTCGCAAATTGGCACTTGCACTGCAGCGGCCGGCAAGCGCCCTGCTCAAGCAGCCATAGACATGAGAGATGAGATCTCAGATTATTTCATGTCTGCAGAAGGCTCTCTGCCATGGCAGCTGGAAGTTGTTAGGCGCAGCTAATACGTGAACCTGTGTTAGCACTTTTCTTCGCAAACAGAATATAACACAATTTTCCACTTGCCTGCTCTAGACTGCTCTATCTGGCCATATGCCCAGATAGAGCAGTCTAGAGCAGGCAAGTGGAAAATTGTGTTATATTCTGCATCTGCCAGTCTTGTTAACAATTTGAGAGCGGCTTGTGTGCGTCCACATTTTTTTGCTTGGCTACTTGTGTCAGCCTTATTTTTTTGTGCTGGAAGTGTTCATTCTTGAACCTGATTTGTTTATTGTTTTCGCATAGATTTTTCCTGCTGCAGTGGTTAAATGGTAAAAGACATTCTATGTCAGCCAGTTCTCTTCTAGCCTAAAATGAAGGCGCTGCATGACTTCTATATAACGTTCTTCCTTTCCTTAAAAAACAATAAATTTATAAAACGCAATTTTTACTGCCTGGATACTACAGGCATATCTCAAAATAAATAGTCGTTGAAAAAAATGTTCTTTGCCACATATGTATGCCGCAAGACGCATTTTTTTCTCTATCTCTACAGAAACTATTCCCTTACAATGATTATTAGGAGTGTACTCTATATACGCCATTACTCCGAAGAGTTTCTTTTTTCCCCGCGCTCCGGGAAGACGTGAGACGAGGGAGCAGAGTCAGAAATAGAGCACCATCTTAATCATAATAATTGCAATACGGTATAGTTTTACCATCGCCCTGAAAACAAGAATTACACATCGACACGTAAATAGTGGGCGTGATTTTTTTTTTCTATTTCTTGTTTCGACGAGAATTTATTTTAAGACATGCCGGGCCTATCCGGGCGATAAACATGTTTCCTTGTAAGTTAAGTAACCCAGAATCAATTATTTTAGCTAGCCATTGCTTGAATGCCAGCCATTTGAAACACAAGTCTGTGAGATGTTGCCGGCTTTTGGTGCTGTTCGTGGGTCAGTCTACAGAAGCAATTGATCATTTGTATTACCTTTGATAGACATCACGAGATTGTGAGAGCTTACTATATATAAAAAAATTACCTTGCCTTTCACTCTGTGCTATCTGTGTTGCTTTTTTAAAGAATTATTTCGCATCGGATTGTGTGTTGCTTTATTCACTGTTCTGAGGCATTTGTGGCAAAAAGTTGCCTTCCCACCTAAGTTTTTGTGCTTAGGCAGACATTTTATTAAGTCTAGTAGGACTAAAAGTCAATGACTCGTGTTTTTACTTTTTATAGTGGTGTTTCCACTTGTGTGGCACAAGGTGTCGGGCGCTAAAAGTATTACACACGGATCTTTTTTTTTTTAATACTTTGTTCATAAAATTATTTTATTGGAGTTTGAGTCACGTCACTCCAAGTAGAAGCATAAAAAATAAAAAAAAAACAGCAGCAGCCTCTTGCTTTGTTATAAAAATATACAGTAACGGAAGTAATTGCAGCATTTGTCGAATAATTAGTTGTCATATTCTGCAATGATGTCCATTATTCGTGCCTTGCACTTTGCTGCGTCAGGCCTAAACAACCTGTCCAGGCTCATACCAATCGACATGCCAAAAGCCTCATTTTCCGTCATTTTCTTGTCCAGCTGGTAGAGCAGCTGCTGCTCAAATTCGCCACTTTTTTACGCTTTTTCGGTGCGCCTGACGACACCCCCGTCGTTGCACGCAGAGCGGGCTCATCACCATCATTATTTAGCTGTGATTGGCCCACTTCCATCTGCTCCAAATCAATGCAGTTGTCCTCAGAAGGCGACGGTGCGCCACTCTGGATCAAATGAAAAAAGTCTTCTGCCGCGACATCCCCGTCGGCGTCCATTGCTAGTGGTCTCGTGTCCAGGTTGCACGCTGTTCTACAGGAACAGAAACATAATCCACTTAGCAAGCAAAACCATTATCACATGAGCAAAATGCTTCACATATATTTGATATTTCGAAAGGAATATAAAATGTCTTAATATGTTTATCAGGTTAGTAATCCCCGTGTCAGACGGCGTTCTAAAGGACCTTTTAAACTAAGCTCCTTTATAAAATCGGCCAATCTGCTCACGATGTTGAGTGCGCCCGTACCCTACGGCGTGCGGTGGTTTGCCGACTTTATACAGGAGCTTAGTGAAAAGGATCTTTAGAACGCCGTCTGACACTGGTATAAGACGTTCTCTTCCCGTCTTTCCTCTTCGACACCGTTTCCCTGCTTTTACAACAGTCTCGGGTTTTTCTACATTATGATCAACATCCACCAGCTTGCCTGGGCACTCACTGCTTTTTCACTGGTATAAGTTTTATTTCTGAATCACTGTAAAATTAGAGCTACGCTGTACCGCCCTAAATAAAGCAAGCACAATAAACAAAAATATTGCGCCTATCGACGCCATTTTATTTGTTTGTTTTTGTGTGTGAGGGAAGGGAAGAAACGAACGCACATAAACATTTTCATGGCGGTGGTCTGTCCACATTTTAAAGTACAAGTGAAGTATTTTTGCAGAACATCCGACCATATCCCTCAATTGGGAGATACGCGGTTTCACATGTGTAAATTACCAGGAAGGTTGACTTCTGACCAATTAATCGGGGATAAATACTAACCAGCATTAAACGTGTTCATCAATTAACGCACAATGCTACGCATTATTCTGCACAGCGTGCCAAGCTTGCTTGAAGCCATGGGAAGTAGTTTCACCTTTGTTTTGTTCGCTATTTTGGTTATGTGTGGCGATACCGGCGAACATACGAAGAAGGCAATGAAGGCGGACCGTTTCTTTTATTTATCTTCTTTACACACTCGAAAAAAACTCTCAGCAGTGCGGGGGGCTCGCTCAATGCAAAGCCTGCCTGTCTCAGCCGCGTTGTACACAGACGTGGCTGCGTCCAACGTGATTAAAGAATTCCATCCACTATTCCATCCAAGAGGTCATTGGTGTCGGACGTTCGCTACTGCTGCTATGCCCCCAGTGTTCGATCGAAAGAAATAAAGCGGCATTCTAGTACGTTTTTGCGATTCCACTGACGGTTCCGTAACTCTCGTCAGGCCTGTATCTATAATTCCCGAGAACAGGAGTGTGACCAAAATGTGTAACTCAATCTACGACACGAGTCTGTTTCAACGCTTAAATTCCTCATACCACGCTGGACAATGGTTCAAAATCTCACTTTTTAGGACGGCCACAGTTTTTATAAAATTCCATGGCCTGCATGAATTCCCAGGTGTGCCTGGCGATGAACCCGCTGCCGCTTCGCTTCGTGAGTTCCAGGGCCCTGGTTTCACGCGTGAAGCGGTCACGCAGCCTCTTCCACAGTTCTTGACAGTCTCCAACTGAAAATAAAAACAAATTCTCTGGTTTTGGGCAATCTGTCAAAAGCTCCACTAAGGTGCGAAAGCACGGTTGGCGCACGTCCAAGCCGGGCCCGCTCGCCGTTCACCAGCCGCCTCTTACGCGCACACTTCTCTTCATCTCTACACCTTTTCTTTAAAGCACATTGCATTCTTTTTTTTTTTTTTTTTTACAATCTATATAAGCACAAGTGGATCGTGCAAAGCCGCTGCTCGCGCTCCCCCACCCCTCAACTACCACGACGGATTATCCCTAGCCAATAAGAAACTCCGTTGCGTATCCGCTCTCTCTTTTTATCCGACCACGACCGCTACGTTCACCACGAAAGGTCAGTGAAGGGTTTTTATATAAAGTTTCACCTTTCAAGCAAATTACAAAACATGATCGCGTCTGCTGCAGCAGCGGAACACAGCACTGCGATAAGCACAGACGCGATGTGCGCAGCAATGAAATAGCTTACCTGTGGGGAGACCGCACAGCTCCCGGATGGCCTCCCAAGCATTGTCTTTCCTGGCCGTGTCGCGGTACTCGAGCTTCCTCGTGTCGTAAACACATGGGTGAAGACGAACTCCCTCGATGAGCTTCTCCACGACCGAGTCGGATTCTTCGAACATGGCGCCACATGAAGTGCTCCCGTCGTCTGCTATTGCTCGTATTCGCCGCGCTTCCCGCGCGAGGGCTGCCGGGAGCCAGCGCGTGATGCATCCTGGTCCGGCGTCGCCGGCGCGGCGGCTGCGTCGAACGCCGTCGGTCGCGTCGGTTACGCCACGACGCCGGAGTATAGAGCGTCGGGTTTTCGCCGACGTAACGTCGCTGTGACGCGCTCGCGCACGCGTTACGTCGGAGTATAACAGAGCCTTTAGCGAGCAGCATTGAAACACTGTGCCGACATTGCGAAAACAATTTATTGAACGTGCATTCTTATACTGTTTCCCCAAAGTCCTACCATTCGTTGTTTTTCGTGTGTAAATTTAATTAGTGTGTTTTCATCTTGGCATGTTCTTTTCTAATATAACTCTGTTTTCTACTTCAAACGGTCTCGTCTTTCTTAATTCCCGGACCTGATACACATGATTCTTCACAGAGATAATGTATGGAGCTCGACTTCCGTAGATATGCAAAGTAATTTGGATTCCTCTTGCCGTAAAACTAATTTCTAGACGAAAACAAGAATCCTTATGAATATTCTTGATACAACCACCAAAAAAAAAAAATTGGCTTGCTTTGTATAGAAATTACAGAGAAGATGCAAGCGAGCTGGTGAACTTTCAATATTGTAAAACCCTACGTCTCGGGTTTTACAATGTTGCTTTGTATGTTTATACAGCCTTGATGTTGGTACGCCTCAACAGGTAACCGGTCGCTTAACTGTAGATGAGAAATTTATAGCGAGTTTGTTTCACACACACTAGCACCGTTCCAGTTCTCCCCCAAAATGCATCTCACTCGCGGAGTGTCGCACGGAGATCCGGCCTCGAACGAACTTGCCAAATTCACCGAGTGCAGAAGACTGCTGCTGCCGCCATCTCTTATAGAAAGAGTACCAACCTCAAACTGAAACTAGCGCCTTTCTGTTCGACGTAATCGGTGGAAATGCGAGAGTGCAGTCGCAACCTGCAGTTCAGTTTTTATTTGCGATGTCTTCAAGCAACTCGGCTGTCGTACATATATTTACAAACGGCGTAAATTTCCGCAACCAGCTGACTACAAAGTAGCTGGGGTCTAGACTGGAGAAAACTGATTATGTTGTCGGCACAGAAACGGTATGACTTAAAACTAGTCTGTTGGAATATCCAGCAAAATGTTTTGTGGGACTTTTGATTTCGACCGTAGTTACAGGTGTATCAGATTTTAGCCTTGGTGAAGACGTCGAGAACGAGAGCTTTCTCAAACAAAATATGACGGGGCAAAATAGCTGACGTAGGTAAATATTAAACATGTTAATGTTGCCCAAACCTCGGGTAAAATCAGTATGTTTAGCTTTCTCGGATGCTCTTTGGGCAGTCACAGGTTTCTGCTGGGGAATCTTTGTCAACAAATGTTCGATTTTCCACTCTAACACGGATGGTGATAAACATCTTGGGGGCCGCTGGCGCGTTTGTTCTGAGCATTTCTTTACACACTGGTATATCCCAGCGTCTGTACGGCAACAGAGCAACTAAAAACTTGCAAATAAAGCACGGGTTGTCAATTGCTTCCTTCATGAAGTACTGTGAAACCCTTTATTTTCGCGGCCCCTATTTTTCGTGAATCGGTCACAGATGACATAATCGCGACCACTAAATTTCGCGAATTCCAGACGCCTGCACTGAAAATATTAAGGACCGAAATTTTCGCGCGCCCTTAAATTTCGCGAATTCTTCAATTCGCGAAAATTGAGGGCTCGCGAACATTAAGGGTTTTACAGTATCCGACGCTCACAATTCAAGCTCCGTTGCCCGCGAGACACGATTTCTATCAGAAAATCTACTTTTTTCCTTTTGGTTCCGCTGTACGAATGACAAACCCTCGCCGTCTGCTCCCGCTCCTCGATGGGGAAGGCATGACGTTACTGCAATTTGGCGTACGCTCGATTTTCTGGGTGCAGCGAGTGCTTGCACGCGTGGGGTGACGACACTGAAACGAACTCGGAGAGTGCAACCACTCGTGTAGTGCCGGCCGAAACGAACTCACTTCACGCTGCGAGTGGGCACGCGTGGGCATAAGTGCCGTGAAACGAACTCGCTCTTAGCCAGAGCAGTACAACCGCTAATCTGGGTTTTGTAAGCGCGCATCACGCAGTAGTGATTACACGAACGCGTGCCGGTACGAAACTCATCCAAATCGATACGGGCGGGGGCGGTGGGGATCGAACTTAAAGGAGCTCTGCAACGATATTCAATTGGAATGTTTTTCTCTCTACACGAGCTTACTGGCACACCTGGGACTCAAGGATACTCACACGCAACGCCATTGGCCAAATCAAAAGTCAAATTGGACGTTTAGTGTTTATACAGTGTAAGGTTGGTCTGCCAGGATGAGGCGACACTGGTTTACACTGTAGATGAGCAATTTTGCCAGTGCAGTACGACTGCTAACCTGGGGTCTTTAACGTGCTCACGCAGTAGTGATACACGACCGCACGCCGGTACGATGCTCATCCAGATCGAAACGGGCAGGGGTGGGGCTCGAACCCAGGATCCCTGGGTTCTGCAGCGCGAGCTTTCGCTCCACGCGCGGCGAGCTGGGTGTGCGCTTCAGCCCACTCGGCCACCGATCCCCCCGCCATTGGCCAAGAAACTCCTTTGTTGCAGTGCAATTTCAAGGACAAAAGCAATCATTTTCATTGAATCTCTCCTTTGCAAAATTTGATGACGTAACTCGGGGATCGCAGTACACCCAAGTGACGATATTTGAATGCCGTTCATAGATTGGACCCGAGCATTGCGTGGACACTTGATTTGGGCTCGTGACAATTGCTAGCTCGAGAAGCATTCGGGATGTGGCCCATGTCCAATCGCTGCAACGACGACAACAGCCGAGCCATAACAATGTCTGGAACTCAGCGCGTGTCCTGCGCTTTGCCAACCCCAGCGCGTGGCTATGATCAACACTGGCGGCATATAATCGGCTCCAGATCACGTGGCCGCTTGTTCTGGCTGCGAGTTGAGGGGGTGAACGCTGCTCGTTTTTCTTAAATTTTTTTTCTGGGACTTCTATTGCGTGGGGTGAAAAACGAACGTGTGTTTCATAAGTCATTAACGATAGTGATCCGTTTTAAGCGGTATTTGTGCACAGTACAAAAATTGTTGCACAGCTCCTTTAAGGGATTCCTAGCGCAAGCTTCGAAAAGTGAACTTACTAAATTGGTCTTTTTTATATATGCGTGGATCAAGGAGATTTTGGCATTTTGGTGTGGAAGGTATGCGCAGGCGGCCATTAGTTTTAAACCTAGTAGCGAGGTTGATGTTGTTGATTACGGGCTTTATGGCGCAAAGCTACTATGGCCATACTGCACCAAGCTTGTTTAGTTGGGACATACTCAGGACTTTTTTATATGAATTATCGAAAAGAGGTTCATATGACAAGGTTAAAAGACAACTCCAGTAGGAAGCCGGTTTTTCTTAAGTAATTTATGACACGACCAAATGGTACAATAGGAGCAGCGCTGGGTGAAAAGGAATCTGGTGTGAAAAAAACTCGGGGAAATGTGTACGTCGTTCTTGCTCAAGCCCTGGGCACAGCCACAAAATGTGTAAAATTGTTAAACGCTCCCCACATTCATCACACAGGGGTGGGGCTTCCCCCCTGAGCAGATGTTCGTGGGTGAGGAAGGAATGTCCAATTCTAAGACGACACAAAAGAACTTCAAGGTGGCAGGTTTTGTGGGATGCACTCTCCCACATACCAAGAGCTGGTTTAATCCTGTGAAGTTTGTTTTCGCATTCCAGACTCCACTACGATTGCCATAACTGGAAAACTGATGATTTTACCAAAAGCTTCATGTCTTGAAATGGAATCTGTGAGGTGGTTGGCAGTAGGTGCTTAGAGCTCGTGGCCAATTCGTCTGCTCTTTCATTACCTAGGATCCCCACATGGCTAGGCACCCAACAGAATTTTATGTCTCGGCCAAGCCGCAGACCACATTGTACCTTAGATCGGACAAGTTGTGCCAGTCTATTTTTACTTCCCTTTATTGAGCAAAGTGTGGAGAGCACACTTTGAGAGTCCACTAATAAAATAGATTTCATCGTCTTGCTGATGAGGATATATTCCAAGGCCATCAACACTGCATAGAGCTCTGCCGTGTAAATACTTGCACATTCCTTGAGACGCTGAACCTTACTGAATCCTTCAGAGTAAACTGCTGATCCTACAAAATGCAATAATTTGGCACCTTCGGTATAAAATTGGGAGTAGTTATCATACTTCAGGGGTGGAACTCATGAAATGTGCTTGGGAGCAGCCACGGGAGCAGCTAAAACAGCTGTTTTGGAGCAGGTTGGGAGCAGCTAAAACTACACTCTGGAGCAGGCTAGGAGCAGCTCAGATCAGTTTTCATTGCACTCCAGCTTGTGTTTTAGACAAGCACGGGAGCAATTTCAGTTGTGCTTAGCAGCCCAGATAAACATGAGTGGTTAGGGACCTAGGCAGATGGGATAACAGTGTAACAGATGCGAAAACTTGGAACTTTGTGAGCCTTGATATTTTCTGAGTGGCTTTCAGCTGCTCAAAATGCAAACCAGCACCGCTTATCGCACAGTCCGCATGTTCTCGACAGAGTGATTTTATGTGCGAACCACGTGACGTGCGTAAGCAACGAACGTGCAGTTGCGCGGAAGAACAGGGAAACAAATTTCGAGTTTCTCATATTGCGCAACTCAATATCGCAACAAAATTCGAGTTTATCCTATTGTGCAACTCAATATCGAAGCAGCAGACTACGATTAACGGAGTTATCGAAGCGATAAGCAGGAGCAAGGTTAACGTATGCCGAGCAGATCTACCGCTCGCGTGAGAGCTGCTGGCCGGCAAGGTTTCGGATCGGACTGCGTTTCAGATCTATCAAATCACGATTTATCTTGCAGGAATGCGGTTCCAACTTCTAACGATGAAGTGCTCAAAGGAATCTTTTGCTCATTTGTTT